AGGTCTAAGTGCTCCCATCTAATACGTGCCAAGTACCAGGTTGGACTTGATGATCTCAGAGGTCTTTTCCAGGCTAACCAGTTCTATGATTCTGTGTTGGAGGAGTCTCTCCTCCTTGGCATGGGGTATCAGAATGTTTAGGTCCTTAAAAACAGGTTTGTTGAGACAGGTGGAGCTACCAGTGAAGAGGATGTCCAGAGCAGAACCAAATGACCACCAGCCTTGGTGACAGGTGTTTGCTTCAGGAGTGTGTGTGAGATTTGGGCACAGTGCAGCCTGGTGGGGTAATGGTCTGTCCCCTCCTGCCTCCCACTGCTTGCTTGCAGCATCTCCATTGCCAGACCAGCTGTAGGCAGGATTTTGTTCTCTGAGGGGGTTGAGTTTGTGCCACCTTGAGTCTGTCAGTGGGTTGGAGAGTTTCACCACCTCCAGGAGGTTTCAATTCTTGCTTCTTCTACTCTACAACTATTAAGCTACTGCTCAATTATCAGTGATTTAGACCATACCATTTGCTTGTCAGCTTCTGTCCTTTGCAGATGGCAGCTCTCCATTTTGCTCTTTGTTCCTGGACACAGGTAACTGTTTTCACTCCTTTCACTTCTCCTTGTCAGTGGTGACATACCTCTGCCCCACATCTGGCATGGTTTGTATGGAAGTGGGAGGTTAGGAACCAAGGCCAGCACTTGCACCCCAGCCCTGCACCTGCTGTCTGGGTTCAGCTTTGCCAGGATAGTGACCCTCATACAGAGAAAGTTGTTAGGATGAGTGTAAATGAGTTTGGCTGCAGAACAGCCTCTGCTGCTCTGGGCAGGCTCCCACCTTTGTATTGCCTCTTCATCTGACCCTTCGTCCACTGTCATGTAGTTCTAAATTCACTATATACATTTTTTTCAGTCCATGCTCTCAACTCAGGTTGGGGAAAAGTAGTCCTAGCCCACGGGCAGGTTCAGGGATGCCCATCCAGGTTCAAGGATGCCCAGCCATCATGGCTGCCATCCATCTCTTCTCCTTCCTGTGCCCCCTATTGCCACTCATGGTCCTGCCTGATGCTTCTGAGAAGAACATTTACATGGTCATAGAATCATACAATGGCTGGATTGGAAGGGACCTTAAAGATCATGTTTCCAACCCCCTGCCATGGACAGGGATGCCACCCACTAGATCAGGTTGCTCATCTAGACCAAATTTGCTCTTAAGTGTCTCATCATGTGTTGGTGGGTGGCCTGGCTTGCTGCATGCCCACTCTGTCCCTGCTGTGCTGTGGGGTCTATGCTTCCTGGCAAGGGCTGTCAAACTTGTTGCAGAAGCTCTCCCCTGCCAGAGGGGCTCCTGGGCATCACTCAGAGCATCCAGACAACCTGACAGGCCCCTCAGCACACACACATGGGATGCCTGTCCATGTGCTGGCATAGCTCTGCTGGGTCCTGCCAGAGAATGCGGGGCAGCAGGACACAGGGAGGTGACCTCTGCCAGCCTGTGCCCCTTTGCTGGGATGAGGCTGTGAGATCATACATCCCTGGAACTGGCCTTTCTCCTCTTGACATGGCTGGAAGGAGGATTTGAGCCAAGCCTGGAGCACAGCCCTGCTGTGGCTGCTGGTACAAGGCTACAGTAAAACATTATGAGCTTTTAATGGGGCCAACCTGTGTTGTAAAGCTGTCACTGCTAATGGAGACCATCTCTGCTTTGAGTGGCACAGCTCCCCTTTCCGTGCTGCGACTGGAAGAGCCAGAGCTGAGCAGAATGGAGGGTGATACACAGTATGCCAAAGTTTAAAAACTGACTGTTGAGCAGAACACTCTCAGCCTTTCCCCACATTTCCAGATGGATCCCTCCAAGCAGTTTGTGCCTAAGAGAGCACGCGATTCCTCCACCCCCACATGGCAACCAGGACAAAGCGCTTGATACATCATAAATATTAGTGCCTGGCCCCTTGCCAGTCCCAGTCAGAGAAATCATCTTGACCATTAATCTGAACATGCAAGCTGCATCTGGCAAAGTGGTGCTTAGTGTCAGCCATGCTCAGTTGTATCTGCAGTGTTGCAGTTCATGCTTGCTTTAAAGAAAAGTTAAAAAAAAATAAAAACAAGAAAGAAAGCAAAAAAAGGAAAATAAGAAGCACTTAGTGCTTTCTGGGTCTAATTTCTTAGTGAGTGTTTCCTGGGGTCTCTGCTGGCATAGCATGGGACCAGTGTGTGGGGGCAAGCCCAACAGAGGGAGCGTCTAATGAAGGACAGGATGAAGAACCCAGTGTGTTTGTGTAAATAAACCATGTGTCTCCATGCTGGGCTTCTTGTGGCACTGGCATCGCTGCCTGGCACTGCAGCTGCACTTGTGCCCTGCTCCCTGCTTAGCCAAGGCTTTTGGGGATGGCCAGATGCTGCTGATGGGCAGCACCCTCTGGGTTGCATGGGGACCCTCCATAGCTTTTCACCTGTTGGGGTGCTGGGGCGGGCAGGGCTGGATTGGAGCTTCCTCCAAGCTCAGCTTTCGTTCTCTGCTGTGATTAATTGCAGTTGGCATTCATCTGTAGTTTTAGAGAACAATCGGATGGCGTGCCTCACAGTTGATTTAATTGAAACCTGACGAGGCGTCAGAAGGCTGCTGTGCACTGGGCATAGTTGTACTGGGATCCCTCTGGGAACCCCTTCCCCTGTTCCCAGCTTTGGCAGTACCCTGGAGGGCTCAGGCTCCCCCCGTGTTTCTTTGGGGCTGAGCTTGTGCTGTAGCTCTGAGGTCTCCTTGCCCTCAAGTTTTGTCTAGCATATCTAGCTTTGTCTAGAATATCTAGCTTTGTCTAGATATTCTCAAGTGCAGTAGTGTCAAGGATCTGGAGTTTTACCCTGCTGTGGTATGGGCCACTGGGGAGATTTGGTGTATTTGGGATACATGTCTTGTTCCTTGTTGCACAAATCCACTGCTCTGCTTATTCACATGCTTGAGTTGCACTGGCCATTTCTAAGGCAGTTCAGAAGCCTGAGGGAAATTGCTTTCAGGTCAAGACCTGCTTTAGCCTGTGGTGAATTACGGTGCCTTGGTTTTAAATCTTTGCAAACAGAGGATTATGGTGATGGTAAATACTAGGTAGACCTGGGGATTGCCATACTGCTGGATGAAGGGAGCATGGCCTTTCCCTTTAGCAGATAGAGCATGATGGATGTTAAAAAAATAAATTGAGATACAGCCTGGGTTGTATCTTAGATACTATTTCTCCTTGATTTATATTTATGCTTGGATGCTTCACAGAGTAAGCAGTATATTTCTTGCTTAACCTCAAAGAGCCTTTTTGTTCTTAAATGAGGACAACGTGGTAGGTATGACCAATTGCCAAGAGCCCCGGATTAGTGCAAGATCTGCAAAAAATTCAGAGCTACTGTGCAGCCCAGCATCTGCTTGAAACACAAACAACCAAGTGATGAACATGTTTGAAATGGCGAAGCTGCACTCCTATGCCAGGTGATAGCTGCTGGTGCCTGGCTGTTCTCTGGGTCTCTAGTCCCAGTGGTGGGTTTGGGGGCTTAAAACAGAGCAATGCCTCCTGCTGTCAGCAGCCCAGTGGTAGCCAACAGCCTGTCCTGAGGGTGAGGGAGTGAGGAACCGTAGTGGTGGGAAGGCTGGAATGTAGGCACTGCCCCAGTGACACCAGCCTGATGGGAAACCCTGCCCGTAGGCATGGTAGATGCAGGCAGCAGAAGGTGAGGGCAGTCAGGGCTTGTCGTCCTGCCTGCAGGTACTGGGCAGGAGGAAAAATGAGGGCCTGGTTTGCTAATTGCTGTGGAAGTGGTGGTGACAGGCAGGTGTAGCCTGCAGGGAGCTGTAAGGGCACTTGTGCACAATGAGTGGGGCTGAAACAGGTTGACACAATCCAATTAGTGCCAAGTGCTAAGCAACCTGGCCTCCTTGCTCTTGGCTTTTATAACACATATAAATAGTGATGGCATTACATAATGCCATGGGGGATGGTTCCACTCCACTTCCAGTCCCTGAGAAGGGCTGAAGATGCTCATAGCTTTGCCTGTGGCTGGGGGAACTCTTCTGATGGTCTGACCTGTCGCAGTGTTTATGTTCACTGCATTGCACTGGGCCTGCTGCAATCCATACAGCATCCCCAGATCCACCTGGGACAAACAGCCTTGACAAGGCACATTTCCTGCACCCTCTCCCAAGCAGCATCTCCATCCATCAGTCTCATGTCCTGCAGTGGAAACAGTGACAAATTTGGGCAGAGACCCTGTTGTTGAGCTCAGGCCTGGCCTTCGTAATGATGTTCTCCAGTCTCTCCTTGTTCTTGATTTCCCACTGCAAGTGGAAGATGCTTCCATGTCTGCATAACCCTCCTTGTCTCTGACCATTAGCAAGAATAAAGTCTTCCAGGCTGCTGCAGACTACCAGCCGTGCTGTGCAGGCAGGGCTCTGTAATTTCTGCCTTTAGGGAAGGCTGTGGCAACCTGATGGGAGCTAATGGGCTTGGGCAGGTAATACTGGATGTGTCATGTGGCTGCCTGATGTCTGTGATGGGAATTGCTCTGCTATGTCAGGCCATGGGTGGCTGCTTTCTGGGCTGGAGGTGGGAAACGCTCATGGAGTTAGCACGTTTTTCCAGTAGTAGGTGGCAGAAGTGAGCATGTTTTTTTGTGTGGCTGTTCCTGCAGAAGGCTTGGTTGAAGCTACCTCTTGTTTTTGTCAGTCATATGGAAAAACAGTCTTCTGGAAGGAAGGAGGGAGTGGATAGAAGCAGGAGGTCACCAGAAAGTATTCCTGAAGTAAATCATGCCTAAAATACACAGTGGTAAAGGTTCTCGTGATGGTTGAAGGTCAGTAGCTTGATGCAGAGGTTGCAGCTGGATTGGTTTTGCCCTGACTTGGCTGAGTCTTGCCCAGGGAGCTGAATGCTCACCATGCACCAAATCCTCACTGGGAGCAGTTCATCAAGTAGCCAATGGTAATCACAGGTTACAGTTTTGTCTTATATAGCTGACTTTCCCCCTTTGTGCTTTCAGAAATAACACAGATCATCCAGGTAGACTTGGACCTGAAGTACAAGACTAACATCCAAGACCTGTTTGATGAGTTTGACAACTTCCCAGAGGGAGCAGTCATTGGAATTGCCAGGGAAATGCAACCAGTGTACAGGTAAAGCTCCCTCCCTATGGGGACCAGGGTGTGGGCAGTGAGTGGCTGGTGTGTCTTCTCTTCAACTCAGATTGGGGGCAATGGTCTTCCTGCTTTAATCCTAGCAGGGGAACTTAATCTGAGACTTGTAGGTAGGTATGAGTAAAGTGTACAGTGTTGCTGTTGGTCTTTTACTTGTTCTCGCACATCATCACAAGGTTTTCAGAGCCAAATTCCTGGTTGTTGGTGCCAAAATCTATACCTGGACTACAGTACATCTGCTAGAGGCATTGTTTGCCCAGCCATGCCTGCTGAGGTACTGTGATTGCATTCTGGAGCATCAGTGTGTGTGTTGGGGCTCGGAGGTTCCAGCTGTGAAGATTGCAGAGAGAAAGGTTTAACTTTAGGCAACAATGAGGTTCTGGGTCCTTGGAATATGAGTGCACCTTCTGCTTCCCTCAGGGAAGGCTGAACTGACAACTCTGTTGGTGGTCTGGGCTTGCAAGCATGAGGGTGACCCCATGGGCACTTGCTCTTCAGACCCCTGGTCCACCAGCCAGTAACTGGTGGGAGGTAACAGTGGGAGTCACTCACTGAGGGGAGGCTCAGTCCTTCCCAATCATGGACCACTGGTGGGTTTCAGGGACACAGATATTTTCAGGCTAGTGCTTAAAGAAATTGGTTTAGTTTAGCCTGCATTATTCCAAGGATGAACCTCAGGTTTTGTTTTAATCCAAAGTAAATCAGATAATCAACTCAGGATGCCTTAATGGCTTCTCAGATGATCTGAGTTTGAGCATCTGAGGTGACTTGGCTAGATTTGCTAATCCTAATGGAAAATTTCTTGGAGGAAGACAAAAAAAGTTGAACAGCTCTGTATGTCTTTTCCTTCCCTACTGAAAGCCTACTTCCTTACTGAACCTCCTAAGACATGACCAGCAGCATTCCTAGGCAAAGGCTGAGCTGCAAAGATCTAAAGCAGCCGTTCTTGTTTCATGTGCATCTGGATGGGACAAAGGTGGAGACAAAGGGAAGTTCATCATCAAGGGGATTGATGGTCATTAATCACCACCAGTCGCTTCCTGGTAGCCTAAGCATGAGGTTGCTCAAATTACAGAAGTCACCACTGTTCTTGGGCTGGAAAAAGACATCTCTGTGTCCATATCAGAAGTGTCACCTCCCCTCTTGGTTTGTACTCTTGGCAAGCAGAGCTGGGACTAGAGGAACACGGACGCTGAGGTCCTGTCTCCATAGCGTGGGAGCATGGAGGGCTTCTGTATCTGCTTTGGGTGTGCTGGCAGGATTTTGGTGCCCAGAATGGTAAATCCAGCCCCAGTTAATCACATCCAATTGTTAGAGCTTAAAGCGGGATGGAAGGAGCAGCCTCAGCCAAGTGTGGCCGCGGGGCTGTTGCAGTGTCAGCCTCGGTCAGCACTGCCCGACAGGGCCAGTCCCATTGGTTAGCGCTGCAACCTGGAACGGGATAAATCAGGCGTTTGTTTGCCTGCAATTAGTCCATGGCAGAATCACTGTGTTTTCATCTCTGCAGGGTTTTGCATTATTTCCATGCATGACTAGGGAGTGGGGATGGTGTTGCGCTGCCTGGATGTGGTTTGTGAGGCCGGGCGTGCCTGGAGGGGACCGAGTTAAGCTTTGGGGTGCTCTGCTGGAGAGCCATTCAGCATGGCAGGGGACAAGGTGTGGGATCACGGGGCTGAGCGCTGAATACCTGACCCGAACCATAGATGTGTTCTCCCCCTCCTGCCGCCTGTGGTGGGGACAAACAAGCCAAGCAATAACAGCCCTCACAGGCTACATTTTTGGGCTGAACTTTCTGTTGTTGCAGTTTTGACATTCTGGGTCACTTTGGGCTATGTTGTACTTTTCTTCTTATGTTGTTTTGATCTTCGTGTGAAAACAAGTTCCTGATCCTCCTTGTCGCCAGACCACCTGTCGCGGAGCAAGCCGTGCAAACGCCAGGCTGCCCTCCCGCCAAGCCCTGCATCCCACAGGGCTCGCACCTCGCTGCTAAAAGGGTTTCCAGACACAAACATGGGCTGACAAAGCATGACTGTCTTTGTAAAAAAAACAAAACAAAACAAAACAAAAAACTACTTTGCTATTTTTATTCTTCTAGCAGGATAAAAATGCATTGCAGGTGCGAAATAAGAGGTACCAGCTCCAGCCGTGTGGTTTGCCTCGTGCACAGGCTTGACACATCAGTTGGGAAAGGGGTTGTGGGGGTGGAAGGGGGTTACGAGGCAAGGCAATGGTGGGGTCTCCCTGTTGTCATTCGCGTTTTCCTCCCTATTTCACGCAGCTCTCTGCAGCACCAGCTTTGTCCCAAAGTACTAAGAGGGCTTGGGGCAAGTCAGCAGAGCTTTCCTGAGCTTGCTCACAGAACTGTAAACTTGGAGCCCTGGGGCAGGGTAAACTGGTGGCTGGGAAAGAGTCTGGTGCCATCTTTCCCTCTCTGTAGCAATGAGGAAGATGGATGGAGATAATTGACTCGGCTGTGTTGAATCCTTGTTACCTGCTTGGCCCATAAGAGAAGGCAAATGGGTGTGTTTTGTAGCTGGTGTCCTGTTTTCTGGGAAGCAGCACTGTTCCTGTTGGTTACCTAGCTGGAGGCTGTACTTTCTAGGCACATGTTGGGGCTGCAAAAGGCTCGGGCTGCTGCGCTGGTGCACTGAGCAGTGCTGGGCACAGACGCTCACAGGAAACAGAGGAGTAAGAGAACAGCAAATCGGAAATGTCCCGGAGCCTGTCTGCACATCCTGAAGGTAGGGGAAACCTCCAGACAGCAAAACAGGATGGCATGGGAGTGCTTCCACTCACTTGACTCACACTGAAACAATGCCCGGCCACTGTTTGTCTTGGACAAATGCATTTCTCTGAGCAACAGGATCTCCCGGTCCTCCTGCAAGGCCAGCACTGGGATTTAACTGTTGCACAGTCTGGGCTTGGCCTGTCTCTTGGGTTGCTCCGAGGGGGTTGGAGTGGCCTGTGGAGAGCAATAGCTCCTGCTGAAGCTGGACGTGGATCACCCTGTGGTGACTGGCAGGGCATCCTGGATGCAGAGCAGGAAGTGACAGGAGCTCATGTCAGGTGCAGGAGGTGATCTGAGGTCTGAGGCCATCAACATCAGGTTTACTTCTCTCCACCTTTGGCAGGGGAAAGAGGCACTCTGTCCGTGGGTCAGGCACATTGTCCTTCCTGCAGTGTTTGGATCTGATGTGTGACATCCACGTCGCCTCTGTGGATGGGGTTGCAGACAGAGCTTTGTCCCACAAGAGGCTGCCCCCACGGCGGGGTTGTTGAGGACACAAGTACTATGCACTAGGCTCCTAGATGCCTGTGGGCTTTCCATGGCAGGGCTGGATGCCTCCTGCCAGACTGATGTTTGGATGTTGGCCTGCAAGTAGAGCCTCTTCCCAGGCTGACGTGTGCCTGCTCATGTGTCTGCCTGCACAGGACTCACATGGGGAGCTCTGGCTTTGGCGAGAATGATTTTGATGGAAAGACTAGAATCTGCAGCTGAAGTTTGCATAGTCCAAAAGGCTTTCCATGCAAGGAAGTGCTTCTGCAGAGTCATAACCTTAATTAAAAGTCCTGTTGTCCCCTGCAGCATTTCAGCTGCTCAACCATGCTGGTGGCGTCCTGCTCACCACGTTACAGGGGGTGAATGATGATGCTCTGTATAAATAATTTTGTTGCACTGAGCCTTCCATGCCAAATCATGGCCAATTTGAGGAGTCCAGGCTCTTTCTCTTTAGTCTTGATAAGAAACAAGCAGGGAAGTGTTGCAAATGCATCCTCCAAGCCAGTGAGCAGGTGGCCAGGCAGGTCACTGTCCTCAGGGTGTGTGCAGGGTGTGTGCCTGGTCTGTGGAGCAGCTTAGCCATGCTTCTGGCTGCAGTGGGACTGTGTGATGGCCGGGTGAAGCCTCCCCATTTCAAAGCAGCCCCATGACTGAGAGGAGCAGAGTGGGGAAATACTGCGGCACTCCCCAAAATGTCCTGAAAACTCTCAGGTTACTAAAGGCAGAGCTTAAACCCTTTTCTTAATGAGTTTCCTGGTTATAGATCCCTCTGGTTATGCTGGTGGTGTGTGAGAGGAAGCAGGACAGTGGTATTGATTGCACAGCTGCTCTCAGCAGCCTCGGGCTGACCCCGGGCCACTGTGCCATGCCATGCTCCCTGTTCCCATCCCACAGCCATCCCAACCTCTTCACTTCCTAAGCAGTGCTGGTGCTGTTATTGGCTCTGGGTTACCACCAGTGCCAGCACCACCTGGAGCCCTCAACACTGCCCCTGTGTTGCTCCTCTTGGGAGAGCAATGGTCTGCTGGCAACAGGAAGGACCTAACCCACAGGTCCTCAGATGGGTGCTTTTAGCCCCTTGCTCCATCTGGGGAGGAGGTACCTGCTGTGATGGTGGACCTCAGGAGAGGTCCCAGAAGTTCACAGGTCCAAGAATGCACCCTTCCAGTTGGGGATGGAAGGGTGGCTGCTGCCGCCATTCCTGCTGTTGGGTAAGATCTTCACTGCTGTCCCCTGTGACAAGAAGCTAATTAAAGCTTGAGGCAGCTTGGGAATCCACAGTACTGGCAATGATAAAAGTTTGTCCAAAAGGAAAGGATAGCTGCATCAAAAGGACAGCTACAGACTACAAAGGACCGACACTTGGGTTCTCGTATGGCTGCAAGGCCATTTGCCTTTGCCTCTGCCTAAAGCCTAGGGAGAGCTCAAACAGGGCATTATTTTGTGGAAAGGAAAAGCTTTGTTTCTGTCTGTGATGATGGAGGAGTTGCTGTAAGGTGTGTTGTGTGCTCTGTCACACATTTTGTTTGTTTGAGAGCTGGTAAAATAACCCTGAGAAGCCCATTAATGAGTGGAAGCAGGACTGTGCAGCCTCCAAACGCAGAGGCATAGCACTCGCAGTGCTGGGTGTTTGCTGGGAGATCAGCAGCAGCAGTGCTAAGTCACTTTGTCAGATGTTTGGAAGAGGAAAGGAGTTATC